CTTCAGCTCTAAGCAAAAGATTGGGGTCATAAGAATGTACCACAGAGATGTGTGCAGGTTTTTCGTAACTGATGGTGGAACTCCTAGTGCTAAGAATAGAAGTGCTATCCAGGGAGCAAAGAAGAAGTTAACACGTATCGGGTGATAGTATTCCCGACGAACTGCTTCGAAGTAGAAAATGATTTTCAGAGCGTAAATGAAAGCAACAATGGCCATAAGGGCCACAGATATGCACCAAAGGACAAGATTCATGTTCAAGCTTATGTGGAGGAATTTTGTTGAGGGAGAAGTGGCCAGAGCTTTCCACATAATAGCTTGGCTACTAACACCAAGACAGATACCGAAGGAAGAAATAGGGAATCGAAGAAGAAATGGCCATTTCCTGTCCTCTGGAAGAATACTTTGCTCAGAAGCCTGTACAGGAAAGAAACATGTGTTACCAACATTACCATCTCGATTCAGAATATTTGTGTTTTCGAACTAAAAAGGAAAGAAATAAAAGACATTTCATGTGTAGAAGTGCAGAAATGTGTATCTCAAAAGCATCAGTGCAACAAAAATTAGTATCTTTTAAGCAATATGAACTCAAGTTCCATTTTAGGCATGTAACTTCTTGGCTTTAAAATCAAAAAAGACATACAGATACATGGATTTGCTCTTACTTTAGATGAAGAAACATACCATCACAAAATAAACTACTTATAGCTGAGGATAAGTTCATCCTTTAATATCAATGCAGGTTGCATTCATTCAACCAAGTGATGAACGTCATGTACAAACGGGTGCACAATATCAATACGGCATGTAACAGACCCTCAAAATGCTTTTCATTTTTTTCATTTTCTTTAGCAATGGTTACTTGAAAGATCAAAACTGCAAATGCATTGATACATTCATGATCTCACATGCTAGTAATCTTTAAAGATATCTTCATCTGAAGCAAATTTCAGCAGACCACTAAAATGGGTGGGCGAAACCAAGGAGAAAAGCTTACCCGTAGAGTGTCCAATTCTGGTCCCTCCAACGCATCAAAGTATCGATGTACAGGGATATTTTCTCTCTCTGCAGTATTCGACTCTTGCTGTGCTTCCTGGTTCTTTCCACGCAAATTTGTTAATTGTCTCTCAAGTTTACCAGACCATGTTTTGAAAGAGTTGAACCTTGGATCCCTTTTCTTAATAATCTTGGGATTCATTGATGGAAAGTCTGAATAACTGGGAAGTTTCCCAATAGCAGGAGGCTCAGGAAATGCAGTATTTCTTGTCATTGGCTGAGAATAAAACTTGACCTTTTTATTATGTCTGGTACCAGCATCAGTTGATGTAGCAGCAAAATCGGAAGTGTCAATATTTCTGAATATAATCTCATTATTATCACTGAAGACAACTCTTTTTTGGCCTAGTGAGTGAGCTGCCAAAGGAGAGGGTGGCATGCTAATGGAAACTGAATGCTTCCTTTCATGCTGTCGTTCAGCAGCGGCTTCAGTTCCCTACAAATATCAATATAGAGTATTAGGCAAGTCAAATGTCACACTGTACTACAGAGTAATATCAATGATTCAAA